TTTCTCAAAGTAGAAAACTAAAAAATGTGTTTGATCTGAAATTTTTAGAAATTATTTTAGGACATTTTATTTAATTAATTTGATTATTCAGTAAATTAAAATAATTTTATGCTCATTTATTGTTAAGTAATATATACATTTTTCGGATTAATGCATTTTCTCGACATAAGAAATTTTCATATGTGGCATTTGGAATTTCATTTTAAATTGTCAATTTTGTTAAGAGAAGTAACATAAATCCTTAGCTGTACATTATTACATGTTTATTTGATGTTGAATCTACCCTAACATGCCTCATTTGAGCAACACCAATATGTAAACTCAAATCAAATTGTTCGTTTAAATTTAATGTACTCTGATTTCTTATTAACACACGGGGTACTATCTCAAAAGATCAACTCTATTAAGAGCAGAAGTAAAATCATTTGTATGTTGATTAGTATTTTGATCTTTAACCTACCTTCATATGATAGTGACTTGTTTGAGAATATCAATTTTGAAATCGGTATACTCATGTGAATTTTAGTTCGGACGAATTGCTCGTCTCAATTTAACGAATGCAGATATTTTATTAAGAGTGTGTTTGATGGATATTATTAAGGAAAGAATGTATTTTAAATAGTGATATAATGAGAAATATGTTGTTAAAAAATAAGGAAAAATTATTAATGTGATGAAAATATTATTTTATTGAAAAATGTATGATTGAAAATGAGTTTTGAAAGAATGTTTTTTTAAAGAATCTGTGTCAAACATGTGCTAAGTTTTAGAGATCCATTTAAAAAAGGTAACAATATTAAGAAGAGTAGTCAAAACTCTTATATATATATTGATTAATATTTCAATCTTTTTTTATGTGAATTTATCTATTGACAAAAGGTTTTGACTTGCCGAGTTTAAATGTTTATACCTTGCCACAATCTCAAACTTGGTTGTGATCGCACAAAAGGAAAGGTTTTTTTTTAGATTTTTATATTGTTTCTTAGCCTCCGTAATTTGATCTGGAGCCCGTTATAATTATAATTCATTTTTCTCTTTCATCTTATCAATCATACATTCTTCAATAAAATAATATTACACGTAAATCCAAAACATTTTACTCCTTTTCAACCATACATTCTTCATCAATCTACTATTCCAAAATACATTCTTCCAAAATAATGTGGCTCAAACACAAGTTATAATGGAGGCCAAACAAGGGCTATATTTTGATTTAAAAAAAGGATGAAATATGTGGTTGAAATTGGGTGAAAATGATTTTAAGAAATGGAAGTCAAACATGGACTTATTATGTTGAATAATAATATCTAGCATCATTGGTGTGAGCTATATGACTTTGTATTTAAATGAATATATCATTTAATATTATGTAATTGTTATCTAGATTGGTGCTTAACATTAATAACGATAAATAGCGTTACTCTGTATGTTTGGGAGGCTTTTGTAAAGTCTAAAAGTACTTATTGGAGGACAACATATATTTTGGTGAAAATACTTGTTCACCAAAAATAATTTTTTAAGGGGGTGTTTGATGCACACAATTGAGAAGAAATATATTTTATGATGTGATGTGATGGAAAATATGTGGTTAAAAAATAAGAAGTTTTTTTGAATTTGATGGTAATATTATTTTATTAAAAAATATGTGGTTAAAAATGAGTATTAAAATAATGAATGCGGAAAGAATGTGGATCAAACTGACTTTAAAATTCTACATTTAGCAGCGTACACAGAAATTTCATTTATTAATTTTATATTAATTTAATTAATAAAATTAAATAAGAAGAGTACATTTAGACACGCATTTTGCTGACTAGGCTCACATTAGAATGATCGTTGTTCAATGTCTTATCACATTTGCAAAGCTTTTTTCGTAAGGTCTCATGCATAGACCCGCTAGGCTTGGCCTTTCAAAACACTACTTGTTTAATCATCATCTTGCCATGTGTCCAACAATTGTCAAGATTGTTCCCTACAACAATGGATCCAAAATTATTCAGTTTGATATTATTTATAATAAGAGGAAATTTCACCCAATAACACTTTTTGGATTATCATTCACAAAAATGTCACATTTTTATAATT